AGCTAGCCCCTCCCCCAATGGCCTGTCCCCCCCCACACACACACCACCACGCTGCCAGCCGGGAACCCTCCGCCCTTCACCTCCCTCTTGCTCCCATCCTGCCTCTTTCCCATTCCTAAGGACCTACAAACCCACCCCCGGCCTGAAACTTTGGGGAGGCAGTTCCCCTGCTCACCCAAAGCACCCTGAGGTGGCCACCAGCTTCTCTCAGCACTCCCTGAGCCCTACCCCCATAGCGAGCCAGGGGACTCGTGCCCCCCCACCCCCTCCCCCAGTCCTGTATTGAGCGCACAACCAGCGGTCCTGCAGAGTTCCCCGCAGCCCCTGGGTAAGCACAGGCATCTCGCCCCTCCCCACTTGGGCCCAGCTTCAGCNCCCCGCAGCCCCTGGGTAAGCACAGGCATCTCGCCCCTCCCCACTTGGGCCCAGCTTCAGCACAGATTAGAGCGGTAGTTGGTTGGGCTCCTATTGGAAGGGTTTTGGGGGCAGCAGCCCCCTGTCCACCGGGCATATAGACCTCCCCAGCCTCATTCTCTGTCTGCTCCCCACTTCCAGACCCCTCACAGCAGACCCCTCCCCAGAGGCCTCTCTGGGTTCTCCAGGCAGATGAATCAGCCTCTGACATCACCCTGACCAATGTAATAGCTGGTTGGAATGGGTCTGTTGCTCCCTGCCCAAGGGAAGGAACAGGGTCTCAGTCATCTCTCAGGTGTAGGGAGACAAGGGTTTTGGAGTCATATCAGTCCTATCAACCCAGGTTCAAATCCTGACTTTCCCCACTCACTCAGCCCTGTGATTTTGTGCCTGCCTGAACCTCAGTTTCCACATCCTTTTTTTTTTTTTTTTCCTTTTTTGTCTTTTTTACTGACCGGTAACGGGATCGCAACCCTCGGTGCTGCACCCGCACCACGCTCAGCCAGTGAGCCAACCGGCCATCCCTATATAGGATCCGAACCCGTGGCCTTGGTGTTATCAGCACCGCACTCTCCCGAGTGAGCCACGGGCCAGAACTTCAGTTTCCACATCTTAAAAATGGGGATAATTCCTGCTTTATGAGGTAGCTGAGAGAATTAAGATATCAAGTCCCACCCTTTAGTCATCACTCATAAATTCTAAGTAAC